AGACAGCATAGATATAAAATTTCACTTCTATTCTATAAATTAAATACTAGTTTCGATAACAATTATAATTTGTTCGAGACAAAATTACTTCAAAGTTGGTTACATTAACTATGATCTTTACTGCTTCGAATAAATGGTTCACTGAACAATGTAAGTGGACAAAAGTAAACAATATACGTATATAAACTTAGTGTATATGTATAATGTATAATATTAATTTAGATAATTTTAATCATCGACCATAATTGCCTCACAGTTCTAAATAATAATAAATGTCATTATTTTTTCGAATATACTGTATACTTCACTCAAACGTTAAAACTGCTGTCAAGCTTTTTTTCAGTGACACGTGACTTGCTCTTCGTCTTAAGCTTATCATCTTCTCTATCTCACCAGCCAGAAAAACAAAATTCATACAACATCAATCAGGATTATGCCTAAAATAATATTCTCGCCCCGGAGTATAAAGCAAATGACACAATGGCTCTTGTTTAGGTTTCGTCTACTCGTTACTTTATTAAACATTCAATTACATCAGCATCAAAGTTTTCCCCAGGAAGTTCTTGAATGTGAAATGGGACTTTAAACCAAGTTAAAAATTCATATATGCGGTAAGTTAGGTTTTGGTTAGATTATATTGGTTATAAAGCAATAAGGTGTAACCGAAGCCCAAGCCATGGTAACCCACACGGAGACATGCCTTGAATATGTCGACTGTCACTTGTTTTCTATTGTTCTCCTCACCTGGGTCACTCCCGCACCAATGTTGTCATATTGTGAGCGAATAATAGTCCCTCTTAGCATATTTTTTCACCGCTAGTCCCTCAGCTAATAGGCTATAATTACTGCCACGCCAATCACACCAGGTAGATCTTAATAGATTCTTCGATTTTATAAGACAATAGAGGTTCAACAGTCGTAGCAATCGAAGGGAATCTAATCGTAAAGAAAAAAATAATAAAGAAAAGACTGGCGTTACTCAAGAGGACCGTGATCCGACTGGGGCGACACAGATCTTAATCGCTGTGAAGAGGATGTCGTCGACCAGATGAAATTCGGACAGGTTATTGACGATGTTGTGACGACGAGAGAACACCTCAAACATGACGATGACGACTATGATGATGAGGACGATGACGATGATGATGACGATGACGATGATGACGACTATGATGATGAAGATGACTATAATAAAGGGAAAATACCTGGGGTGGTTGATATAATTGTTTCTATATACAACAAAGCGTATCACTAATTAAGGAACAAAATGATGATACTATATTCATTCACCATCTAAAAAAAAAAATTTCCATACAAAAAAAAGAAAGTATTTACAGGTAAAATCCAAAATAGCGAATTAAGGGACCCAAATATTAGATACAAGGCAGGTATACAGCAGCACCTGAGAGTGGGTATGATGATGACCTGGGACACACACACACACACACACACACACACACACACACACCTGACGAATAGCAGACCGAAGAAAAAGCAAAAACACCAAGAGGAGGCGGGAGAGGATGAAGAAGAAGAAGAAGAAGAAGAAGAGGAGGAGGAGGAACAGGAAGAAGAATAAGGCCTCTGGTATTAGAAAGTCATCATCATAAAGCTGAGAGAGAGGACGGATAGGTTTTCCAGATCTATAGGTTTCTCTTGGAAGATGGAGAGAACCTTCTGGGAACATCTCAATTCTTCTTCCTCTCACTTCACCCGGGCCGATGACGCGCCACAATGAACCACACACGGCAGCATAATACACAGGTATACGGCGGGGGCGGTGCATGGTGCGGGCATTGTGGGTTTTATATGCCAACTGGGTGTACTGTGTGTGAGTTGAGGAAAAAACCACAAGTGGGTTTGTTTTCAGGGTTTAAGGATAAGGGTTTTAAGTGTTTTTTAATGAGGTGGAATTTTTAAAGTGGTTTAAATTTTTTTTTGTAGGGTTTAATTTTTGTTTTGTGGGAGGTGGCGGTGTATGGGTTAGGGGTGTTTTTATTTTGGGGTGTTTGTTTTTTGTTTTTTTGTTTTAAGGGGGGTTTAAATTGGTTTTAAGGGGTGTATATTTTTGTATGGGGAGTGTAGATTCTGTGGGAGTCTCTATGGGTTTTCTCTCTCCCCACCTTCTCCCAAACCTTCTCCTCCTCCTCCTCATCCTCCCTCATCCCGTCCTGTCCAACTCTATCCCTCCCTTCCTCCCTTCTGTTCCCACTCTCTCCCACACTCTCCCTACTACTCCCATCCCTCCTCTCCCCCTAACCTCCCCCTACCTTCTTCCACAGCCCCCTCCCTCCTCCCTCACCCCCTAACCATCACCCACCTCCTCCCTCTCACCCACCTCCTCTCTCACACCCTCTTTGCCACCACACGCACGATGAACACACAAGCACAGTGGCCAGGTTGGTGCTTGAGGGTAATAGCTACTAAAAGCAGTCAAGCGTAGAGACCTATCCTGGCTCCCTCTAGTGATAGGTTAGGCTAGGTTAGGATAGGTTAGGATAGGTTAGGTAACTGATCTAATCTGACCTAATCTAACCATCAGGTGAGCAATATTAATGGAGCCGGTGATTGGCCAGGTACAGGCTGGTCATTTACCTCGGTAATGAGCAGAACGACTAAAATGAAACGAGTGTATTACCTGTCCGCTGAGCATGATGACCACGCCAAGGTGACCTCTCTCTCTCTCTCTCTCTCTCTAATTATATTACTTTACCTAATTTCTACTCCCATCTCCCCTACGTAGATTTAGCGGATTATGTGACCTCTCCTGGTAGTCTGTCTTTCTCATCCCCTCCTTTATCAGCGTTATCTCTCTCCCCTTCCACACACACACACACATACACACACACACATGGTCAGCTCTCTTTAACTTATCCCTTATATATAGCCAATTCCCTCCCCCTGTTTAAGTGTGTGTGTGTGTGCGTGTGTGTATGTGTGTGTGTGTGTGTGTGTGTGTGTGTGTGTGTGGGGCGTGTATGTAGCCAGGCAGTTTGCAGGGCGTGGGGGGAAGGTCAGGGAGAGGGCGTGCAGGGAATGGGAGAATGCAGGGCGTGGGGGCGTGTGTATGAAGTGGGGACATGGAAGGAATCTAGGTGGGAGACGTGCAGGGCGTTGGTGGTCAGTGGAGGGCGTGGGAGGCGTGGAGGGCGCGTGGGGGCGTGGAGGGCGTGGGAGGCGTGGAGGGCGGGGGGCGTGGAGGGCGTGGGAGGCGTGAGGCGTGGGGGCGTGGGAGGGCGTGGAGGCGTGGAGGGCGGGGGGCGTGGAGGGCGTGGGAGGCGTGGAGGGCGTGGGAGGCGTGGAGGGCGTGGGAGGCGGAGGGCGTGGATACACATATAACAGCTACATACGCTCGTGTGAGTCAGCAAGTTCCTCTCTTATTTGCTCTTCCTACAGCTTCCTCATCAATCTTGCCTCCTCCTCCCTCCTCCTACCTCCCATGTATACATTCCTCCTCCTCCCTCCCTCCCTTACCTCCCATGTGTATACATTCTCCTCCTCCTCCTCCTACCTCCCATGTATATTCCTCCTCCTCCTCCTCCTACCTCCCATGTATACATTCCTCCTCCTCCTCCTTACCTCCCATGTATACATTCCTCCTCCTCCTCCTTACCTCCCATGTATACATTCCTCCTCCTCCTCCTCCTTACCTCCCATGTATACATTCCTCCTCCTCCTTAAAACTAAGAAAGTACTGAATATTTTCCTTTCGCTTTTATAATGGTGTAGAGAGTGATGGTGTGTGTGCGTGTGTGTGTGTGTGTACGTATATTTTCTATCAAAGTCACGTATTGTACATTGCCAAACACCCACGTCTCTACATGAACAAACATATACCGCTAAGCCACGTACATACACAGACATCCACGCCACGCACGTACACCAAGAAACGTACGTACAGTTCCGTTCAGAAGTTCGTGGTACACTGGCGGTGAAGGGTGCATAGTCTGTTGTACCCTTCCTGGACGACAGGTCACTACGCCGACCCTCCCACCAACACACACAGTGGAGCTGGCAACGGAGCAGTGTGAGTCGAACGAGTACTCATAAAAAAAAGAGATTGGAAGGATATTATTGTGAATATCGGCCAACGTTACTGCTGATGGGTGATGAAGATGTGTTAATATCTTGTTGACGAGAACAGAAATCTATAGTGATAGGAGTATCCACTTGAATATCAGAATGCAACTGGGAAATTAGTTTCGAATGAACAATCGTCTTATGTATGATTAATGGCAGCATTACGGCGATAACGATTAATGGCAGCAGTACGGCGATAACGATTAATGGCAGCAGTACGGCGATAACGATTAATGGCAGCATTACGGCGATAACGATTAATGGCAACAGTACGGCGATAACGATTAATGGCAACAATCGCCTTATGTATGCTGGCTGTCTCGTATGGCCACCGGGATGGTTAAGGGGGGTTGCCTCTGCCTCCGCGATAATTGCAGATCATCTGCCGGGGTGGTCCTCCGAGGGGCTCCTGCTGTCCCTAGTAACACACTACAACACACCCATAGTCAGAGTGATTGTGACACTCTAGGTTTACCTAAACTGTAAATTTACGTTTCAAATATAAAAATGGTTAGAAATTATATGCCAGCTTCCATAACTCTACAACATAATCTACACAATAGTTTTAATATGAAAAGAAGGTTACAGTAGTGATTATTATTCCCAGATAGATCACCAATTTCAATAATATCCAAATTTAGCCTTGCCCATACATAACTACCCACAAATAGTGATGATGAATTTGGCTGTAAATAAACTTAGGTTAGGATTCCTCTATCTACCTATATAAATATTAAAATGAAGTTCCGTGGTCGAGCTTTTCCGAATCTTTACCTTTGCAGGTCTCTCATTCTCTATCCTTCATTGCTGCTATGGTCCGCTCCTTTGTTGTGACGGTTATAACTTACCTAAGCTCTCCTGCCATCATCTTATCCACTTCACCACAGTTGTGGGGGACAGGCCAACTTCATGTGCCATACCCCGTATGGAGAGACCATTATCACGGAGAGCGATGATGCGACCTCTGAGCACCAACTTCTCGGCTCTCCGGTTCATGTTGGCTTGGTGGAGCTTCTGATCACTCTCATCAGCGGCAAATAACGACACACACACACACACACACACACACACACACACACTGTATATATAGCTTGAGTATTATACGACAAACTTTAAGTAATGAATACATTGAAGACTCTTGATATATGAGCTCTGTTCACCTACTTCTTAAGGTGTTCATTCGAAACCAATTTCTCTATTGTATTTTGATATTCGAATGGATACTCCTATCACTACAGTTTTCTTCTCTCGTCAGCAGGATATTCATATCAAAATCCTTCCCATCTCCTTTTGATGAGAACTCGTTCGAATAAAACTGCTCCGTTGTCAGTTCCACTGTGTGTGTTGGTGGGAGGTTCGGCGTAGTGACCTGTCGTCCAGGAAGGGTACAACAGGCTATGCACCCTTCACCGCCAGTGTACCACGAACTTCTGAACGGAACTGTACATATAACCCCACGCCACGTACAACAACAAAAGTACGTACATGTTTATCCACGCCACGTACAAGCTAACTAATTAATATCAACACAGTAGAGGCAAGCAGTAAATCACCTCATCTTTTTCTCTCATCTTTACTAAACCATATTTTTACCTCCGCCCCCGTCTCCCCGTCTCCGCCCCGTCCCCGCCCCGTCCCCGCCCCCCAAAGTTCTTTCTCTGCTAATGAATCACCCGCGAAAAGATTTATATTGTAATTAACTCGAACTTCGCGATTATTTTTGTTTTATTTCGTGACGGAGGAAGGGAATGGGGGTGTGAGGTAGGGAGAGGGAGGTGGGAGGTGGGAGGGAGGGAGAGGGAGAGGGAGGTGTGGAGGTAGGGAGAGGGAGAGGAGGTGGGAGGTAGGGAGAGGGAGAGGGAGGTGTGAGGTAGGAGAGGGAGGAGGGAGGGAGGTAGGAGAGGGAGAGGGAGGTGGGAGGTAGAGAGGGAGAGGGGAGGTGGGAGGTAGGGAGAGGGGAGGTGAGAGAGAGAGGGTAAAGGGGGAGTGGAAGGTGTGAGGGGAGGGGGTTAATTCCTGAACACTGTAGCGATGTAGAGATAATTGTTTTTAATTACAACAGTAGACATATAAATAACATATTATTATTATTATTATTATTATTATTATTATTATTATTATTATTATTATTGTTATTATTATTATTATTATACACAAAATTTCCATATTTTCCTTTTAATTTACTTCAATAAACATCCAATATCCGCACATGAAGGAAAAACAATCCCTCTCGCTTGACAAACATCCACCAGTCAGATCAGTGAAAAGTAACAGACAACACAGAAAAACTAGATTACATTCCTCCCCACTCAGTCTCATTCCCTCTCCTCTTCTTCCTCCATCTCCTCCTTATCTTCCTCCTCATCCACCCCTTCCTCCACCTCCACTCCTTCTCCCACCTCCCCATCACCTCCACCCCTTCCCCAAAAAACCCCTTCCATCTCCTCCTCCACCCCTTTCCTCACCTCTACCTCTCCCCTCCCTCCTCAGACGTGGGTAACTAACTATCCACATCGGGACTACAGAAGACGCCGATAACACCCATGGCAAGAGTCCCACATTTGATTAATGGTTGTGGTGCGGGTACTCACTCCTGGATACCCGCTGGCACCTGTCATCCACCTCTCTCTCTCTCTCTCTCTCTCTCTCTCTCTCTCTCTTGTGTTCCCCACCAATAAGATCTTGAGGCGAGGAGTTGTTCTTGTGATTAATTTTGAGGGATTAATTATGATTATCGAGGATTAATTGGGATTATTTGGGATTAATTTGTAAATATTTGTGGTTTGTTGTGATTATTTGTGAATTATTTGTGATTTTGTAAAAGGAACTTGTGATTATATATAGTGGGCCTGTGTTGATGCCCCTGTTTCATATATACACTGCATACAAATACACTAGAATACATGATACATTCCTGCACTAATTAAATCTGTCCCTGTATGTATAACTGTATTTTAACATGTATCTGTATTTGTACCTATGCCTATACCTGTATCTGTATAATGATGTACCTAACACCCCTAAGGACGGTGCAACTCAACACAACACAATACAGCACAATACAACACAATACAGCACAATACAACACAATACAACACAATACAGCACAATACAACACAATACAACACAACACAACTCGATTACCCAGGTAGACTGAGGGTCTTAGGGACACAACTTGAAGTTCGCCAGGGTGTCATGGTGGATGGATCAAAGGAGGTATTTCTTCACACACAGAAAGAGTTAGACCTATGGAACAGTCTACCAGCTCAAGCTATGGAAGTGAGAATAATACTAGGCTTTAAAATAGCCCTAGACAAGAACAATGGAGAGCTACTACACTAGCCACTGGCCTCCCTCCCTCGTTATGGCCTCCTATGTCCACCTTTAGTTTGGGTGGCCATTAGGTTAATCAGGAAAATACTAGTTCCTTCTCCTCTCCTTACACCTGTACCTGCAGCTTCTATAAACACGTTATTAAAACTCAGCGTCACTTTCTTCCATGACCATTTCGATGCCACCAGGATTAAGTGTTCTTAAGCTAATCCTTAACTTATGCCTATTGCAACAACGTATACATGTAGCCTGTGAGAGAGAGAGAGAGAGAGAGAGAGAGAGAGAGAGAGAGAGAGAGAGAGAGAGAACGGAGGTGGAACTGCATTCCTTCTGGCTCGCCTCTCGACTGTCGCTTGTCTGTCGTCACTGATGAATTGTAGGTAAGCTACGTGACTCCCAGCGAGCTCACTACACAACTGAATTCTCTCTCTCTCTCTTCAATCCAACCGTCCACTGCTGTTTCTTTCTCGCTCTTTCTGTCTTTAGTTCATTCTCCCTCTCCGTCTCATTTTCCTCTCTCACCCTCCTTCTATCTCTTACCCCTATTTCTTTCTTCTCTCCTTTCCCTCTCTTTCTCTCCCCCCTCTCTCTGTCTCCCCCCTCTCCCTCTCTCTATTTCCCTCCCTTCCCTCTCTTTCTCTCCCCTCACTCTCTTTCTCTCTCAAAAAAGAAAGCCAGAGAAAATTTATGACAGTTTCCCAAGTGGAGAAAAGTCTTGGCGCCACTTGGATTATTTTCTTTCATTAATACAGTGTGTTGAGGCGACCTGGTGAAGCCGACGATGAATTACTGGTCAAAGTTGTTACCAGAAACTTGTCAGCTGTAAACGTCAGGGCCGATCTGTCTCTCCCTTCCACGAGCAGTTGACGGATGGAGGATGGAAGAGGAGGAAGGGGAAGAGGAAGAGGTGGTAAGGTGGATGAGAGAAGGGGGAGGAAAGGAGGTAAGGTGGAGGATGAGAAGGAAGGGGAAGAAGAAGAGGAGGTAAGGTGGATGAGAGAAGGAGGTGGGGGGGGTAGGAGGGAGGTGGAGAAGAGAAGAAAAGAGGAGAATGAAGAGGAATAGTGACGATGAAGGATTAATCTATCGTCCTAAAAGGGTTAAATCACTGTCTTTAAAGGGTTATATCATCGTCCTCAAATGTTAAGAAAAAAAAATCTCCATATTACGAGATTTTATGTAGAGATAAAGACCCAAATCCTCCGACTATTGGGTTAAGTTATATATGAGTACGAGTCTCTGTCATCACCCTCACCATATATGAGTACGAGTCTCTATCATCACCCTCACCATATATGAGTACGAGTCTCTGTCATCACCCTCACCATATATGAGTACGAGTCTCTGTCATCACCCTCACCATATATGAGTACGAGTCTCTGTCATCACCCTCACCATATATGAGTACGAGTCTCTGTCATCACCCTCACCATATATGAGTACGAGCCTCAGTCATCACCCTCACCATATATGAGTACGAGTCTCTGTCATCACCCTCACATATATGCGAGTACGAGTCTCTGTCATCACCCCTCACCATATATGAGTACGAGTCTCTGTCATCACCCTCACCATATATGAGTACGAGTCTCTGTCATCACCCTCACCATATATGAGTACGAGTCTCTGTCATCACCCTCACCATATATGAGTACGAGTCTCTGTCATCACCCTCACCATATATGAGTACGAGTCTCTGTCATCACCCTCACCATATATGAGTACGAGTCTCTGTCATCACCCTCACCATATATGAGTACGAGTCTCTGTCATCACCCTCACCATATGAGTACGAGTCTCTGTCATCACCTCACCATATATGAGTACGAGTCTCTGTCATCACCCTCACCATATATGAGTACGAGTCTCTGTCATCACCCTCACCACAAACTTCTCTCACAATTCTGAGCTGCAGAAAACTACCAGCCAAGGACAATGCTTTAGTGACATTTTTTTTTTAAGTCAAAGTCTATTGTCTAATTCTATTGTCCGGAGCAGAAGTCTATTTTACATGTCTATTGTCCGGAGCAGAAGTCTATTTTACATGTCTATTGTCCGGAGCAGAAGTCTATTTTACATGTCTATTGTCCGGAGCAGAAGTCTATTTTACATGTCTATTGTCCGGAGCAGAAGTCTATTTTACATGTCTATTGTCCGGAGCAGAAGTCTATTTTACATGTCTATTGTCCGGAGCAGAAGTCTATTTTACATGTCTATTGTCCGGAGCAGAAGTCTATTTTACATGTCTATTGTCCGGAGCAGAAGTCTATTTTACATGTCTATTGTCCGGAGCAGAAGTCTATTTTACATGTCTATTGTCCGGAGCAGAAGTCTATTTTACATGTCTATTGTCCGGAGCAGAAGTCTATTTTACATGTCTATTCACAGTCCTGATGAGTATTGTTTAAGCATCGAGTATATAGTAAATTAGATCCCGTTGCCGTTATCTTATCAATGTTCATATTCCAAACTACTTAACTTATCCTCAAACATGACCTGACGTTACTAGAGAAATATGACCTTATCTTCCACCGAGAAACATTAACCTTTTAGTGTATACAAGACCGATGAGATAATTGATATTTTCATGAGAAGGTGAGTTTTGTGACCGGGCACCAGAAGACCAAGTAGTGGTGGTGGAGTTGGACCTCGATATGGGAAGC